GATAGGAACGACTATCTAGTACGGAATTTTTCCACTGGCGATTGACTAAGATGTAATCAATCTAGTTGAAATATTGGTTATCCGGGGAATTTCACGTGATTAGATGTTTTCACGATGACGGAAGCAAGAATTAAGAAAAGTTCATGAAAAAGCATAACAAAGAAAGCGTTCGCCATTGGCGCACCAGTCTCAGATGCCATATTTACCAAATGTTGAGGTCATCGCAGTGGCATTATGACCTACGCGCTCTCCAATCTCTCCCCATTATGACCATGTCATGCTTCGCTAAAGACTTTGTTCCGGAACTTATCTTTATCACGATTATCTGCCGACATGGTCATAATGGGGTCATAATGAGTTGGAGGAAATATTTATCAAGGTTCTTCGTCTTCTTCGCTCAGGCATTCACCATTTTTTGCTGATTGTACTCAATTTTGGCTGGCTTCTTGCTGATCTAAGTAAGTCTACTAGTCTAAGATCGTTTTAAGATCGTTAGAGAATCATTTCTGGTTTGAAGGGCAGGCGGTTCGGCAGCATCATCAATGCCTGGCTTTTAATGATGGGTTTCTTTTCGTCGAGGAGTAGGAATCGAATCCTGGCACTCGACATCAGCCACTGCCCACTGTCCACTGGTTTTGATCCTGATAATTTATTTTTTTCTCTAAAGTTTGGGCAAAATTATCGACAGCGAAGAAGAAATGAAGATTTTAAACAAATCAAAGATCTGGAAAATTTTACGCCATATTTCCATTGTAAAGAGGACTTAAGGTTATTCACAAAATAAGAAAGAGAAGTTAGGAAAAAGTGGAGAGTGTAGCAACGAAATTTGAGAAACTTGAATTTAAAAAATTCAATTATTTCATTAATTCAATTAAGTTTGATTAACTAATAATTATTTATAAATATTCAAACGATTAAAATTAATGTTAAAGGATCTATCCAGTGAAAATGTTACGCGAATAATTTTTCTCGTTCCAGTACTCGCTCCGTTTGCCGTTTCCGGTTCGCTTGCTTCCATCAACTTTTAGAAACATTTGGATAATTAATCCTTTCGCTATAGATTCACTTGAAAATAAGTACTTGAAGATAGAATCGAATTTCACTATTTTAGCAGGTTTACGCCAGTTTTCAGTGATCGGAATTACTGCATTGCATTGCTTGCTCGAAGAAATAAATAAACTGACCATCAGTTTTTTGAATATTTAAAAATCCATATCGAATAATATCAATGAAATCATGAAATATTCGCTTTCCAAGATGTGTAAATCACTATCGATGCCAATGCAGAAAAGTGATTTTTGCATATGACCACTGTTATAATCACTCTTCACTCTCCACTATTATTATTGCTATTATCAGAAGCTGATAATGATCTATAGCTGTATCAAGATATATTTATAAATTTTTTCATTGCTTTTAGAGGATAAATAAAAATAAAACGTTGGAGCGAAATTCATCGAGGTCTTTTTATCATAGATTTCCAGCGAAGAGAGGTCATTTATCCCCTTTATTGTTTCTTCAATCATATCATTTGTTTATATCAATTAATACTAATTGCAAATCCATAAATATAATAAGAAATATCTGACCAAGTTGATATCTTTCTTATCGTTGCAATACATTTTCATTCTTACATTTATATATTTCTTATCGTTATAAATTTAGTTTGTCTAATACGGTTGCTTAGAAAGAATTCTTCTTTCTTTATTATAAAAATTACGTTTTATTTTTTGTATTTCCTGTATTTTAATCAGCGATTATTTATGTAATAATTCGATAATTCGGTGTTCTTTATTTATCATTTTAACCAAACCACTTAACCTTTACTTAAACACTTTTATTTTTAATCTTAATATGCATTAGTGTTTTCGAAAGCACTCAACATTGCTAGTTGGCTTGTTTCATTGGCTATTAGGATGGGACATTTGGCTGGGAATTTGAGGATGTAAATATGTCCTCAATGGCTGAACCATGATTTGAAGTGATTGTCTAAGCCAGTCAAATTTTTTTCCATGAACGCCTTAGATGATACCACAATAATCCATAGGGCAATATTTTCGAATTTCGAAATTTCAGAGCATTAAATCTCCCCAACCAATCATAAAAAATGATTTGCAATATAAAATAAAATAAGACGAGTTAACCTGCCCTCATAGACCCCTGGGAGTGATCATGAGAGCCATCGAGGAGGTGCACAGAAGACGGCTTGACAACACTGGTCCATACAACGTCATTCGGCTACATCGGTGCCCTTAGCTGCCGTTACAATAAGATGAAAAAATTTTTAGTTTCAGTAGAAATAATGTTCGCGGAATATCGTGCTTTTGGCGAGAATAAAAAGTTGAAATATCGCAAAATCGCAAAAAACTGAAAAATTTATTCAATGGTTTCGTGCCCTTTTAAAAACTTTTATCTTAAAGTTGGCCTACTGCATGAAAATGAAAAAATAAAAATTAGGCTTAGGCTTGCCAAACGCAATAATCGCGAAAACTAGCAAAGAAAAAACCTAAAAATAATAACATTTGCAAAAAATTATTCCGTCTGCGCTATACAAACTTCATCTTCATTAATGCAATGTTTCTTCCGAGGTCAACATTATTTCTTGTCAACCAAATGGTAGAGTTCTGCCTAAAAGTCAGAGAAAGGTTTTAAACCTGCGATACGTTAGAAACGCTTGCAGGATAGAATTTGAAGCATCCATAAATCTGCACGAATTTACATATTTTCAACTGGAACAACTGAAATTTATCAATGGGGTAATTAGTAAAAACAGCCTGTGAATAAACGGTTCAGAAACGTCTTACCCTTGTAACCGTTGGTGCCAGCCTAACCAGTAATAGTGAGAGCCTTTAGAAGAAGAAGAAGAAACATTTCAGGTTACCGCTAAGGATCAAGAGTCATCAGTGAATAATCTAGCATTAAAAGAGCCGATGCTGAAGTTCCTTTCCTGGTAAGAGTAAATCTGTATTTCAAAAATCTGGATGGTACCATTTGCATACTTCATTTGTCGCTAGGCGACTTCCTGGCAAAATTTATGGTCCCGTAAGCCAGCAGAATGAGCCTGAATAAAAATATCGAGCGTTAAAATATTAAAATTTACTTTCAATTATTCTATTAGTATGTTTGATTTTACAACCAATAAGTGCAATGTTTTTAAATCATAGCAGTACTCCTATTATTTTAAGCGTTTCGAAAGGGTCCATAGGTTTCGCTGAACCACTAAAGAGATGCACAGCAGTCACACTCAAGATGGGATGTTACCATTGTTCAGCGTACACTGCGCCTTGGCTTGTTGTAGTTGTTTTTTTGGTGCGTTATTTATATTAGTCGTTAACTTGAATACTTTAAAAGTTTTATCAGCTCATTGACACTTCCACCGAAATTATCATTTCATCCTTCCTCTGTTTCTGTTTTTCAGTTCATATTTGATCTAAAAAATTCAGTTCTCACTTCTCTTCGAAATGCCTCCCAGTTTCTCTTTTAGTCAAATTACAAAATGTTTTTGATAGGAAACTGCAGAAATATAGCGCTGTTAAATAAGAAGGAATTCAAATGTTGGCAGGAAAACGGAAATTTTTTGGCGCCAATATTTCGACAATTTCTTTAGCTGTTGCGTTTTTTTCTTTTGAATTAGCCAGGTTAGAGGTCATCCAAAGGTCGCTCAGGGTCGGGTCGCTCAACGGTCATTCAGGTCGTCGTTTATTAGATCATTCATTCACTAAGTTTATTGTTTCATATGAAATCCCCTAAACGAAGATAATCGATTTATAGATTTACTAACAATCGTGAAAGTAAATTTTATTTGAAAGCGAAAAGAATTCGTTTCGTTGCAGTTGCAAATTACAATAATTAGCTCTTATTTTTAATTACTTATTTTTTCAAAATGTTTGTAATATAAAATTAAAATCGATTTATTTAGTTTTTTATTGTTTTAGTGGAATTAGTGGAATTTGTTTATTAATATTAATCGATTTTTAAATGGCTTTTAGTTTTTTTAAAAATTAACCAAATAAATGTTTTCGATTATTTTAGTTTTAAATTAATCTTTTTATCGGTTTTTAAGTGTTTGGTTTTAACAGATTTTTTCTTGGTTTTAATGGATGAACGGAATTATACGAAAGGAACTAACATTTGGCAGCAGTAAAGTAAGGATAGCCGAGTGGAGGGATGGGGGTGCAGTGGCAAAGGTTCGGATGTTAAGTCCCGGTAGATTTTTTCATCTCAAAATTCGACTCTTGCCTGTACTTCTATCGCCTAAGCAACAGCATACTTTGACTCTTAAGTCAGTTGACCCTTAGCTATCCTAATCGGAAATGAGGAATGAGTGCCAAATTTAATTACTTAATTTACTAATATTTAATAATATTTTTTGTAAACTAATATTTTTCAGTTCTTTGCTGGGGGGCTTACATTTCACAAATTTTCAATTCATCATATTCGTCAATTTATATATTACTCCTTATTTCCCATTCCTTTTTTCTAACACCCCAGCATTTCTGGTTCAGTTTTCTTACCACTAAAGCGAGGTGAATTATCGCTTGTGATTAATCATAAATTTCATTCATTCATTCATTCAGTCATGCGTTTAATTCAAATCGAATATCGAGAAATTTTCAAAATTTCGCTTCTTTTCCTTTATTTTATTTCATTTTTATAAATACGGAGTTTTTAAAAATTTAATTTAATTTATATTAATATTCATTAAAGGAAACAAAATAATTTAAGTTGTTTTTATTTTAGTTTGGTGATGATTTTTTCATTTCATTCTTTTTTCTGTTTTTCTTCCCAAAATATTTTAATAAATTTCCATAAATAACTTGAAAAAGTTAATTTTTGTTCAAATTTATTATTTTTATTTATAATTTTTTAGAAAAATTAAATTTCTTTATTTTCAGACGAATCATCTCGTTATAATGATAGAATACTAATGAAATTCGAAGAGAAAAGGATTTTTATTGGTGTAAAAATTTTGTTTGGCGCAATTAATTCTCGAAATTACTATGAGTTGGCAAGAAAATTGCCAACGAGCGAAGCTTAGTGGCTCAAAACAAAATTTATCAGTAGATTGGCCATCGCCAATAAGTATATTAGATTCTCCTGAACGAAAACGAGCTATGTTATCAAAAAGTTTCGCAGATTCTGGTCTGGGGTCAACGATATTCGGTACCCCTCCAGATAAGGTGATTTTTTGCTTTTAATTTTATTTATTTACCAGATCATATTTTTCGATTTTTTATTAATTTTTGATAAACTGTTGATTTGATAATGTGATTCATTCTTTCGTTAGAGTATTCATAAATTTGAGGAATTATTTGGTTCAGTTCGTTTATTTCAATGTGTGTTGGACATTGAAATGTGGTTGTATATATGCACTCGTGTGTTTATGTGGTTTATGTCAAACTTACAAAAAGTTTTTTAGGATTTAATTTTTTAGGATTTTATTTTCATTCTTTTCGTGTAAATATAGTTGATAATTGTCTTATATTTCCAGATCCATATGAAAGTTAATGATGTGCCACCTCTACGTACCCCAACTAAACGCCGAAATTCTTCAGGAAGTGGCTCTGGGCTTGCGCTATCACCACGGTATCATTTCTCCATCCATTTTTTTATTTGATGTTCGTTAATTGCAAGGGAAGCGAACTTGCTCAGTGCATATGTGATGCTTTATACATTGCAGTGATATTTTTCACTGAAGTAGTCGATTAAATTCTGCATTTTGCGCAAGAAATAAATGATAAATGAGTTTATTTTATTCATTAATTGGAAATTTTTATATATTTGGGATTTAAGAGCTATGCAAATGAAAAATCGATTTTTTTACAAAAAACTAAATTGAGATGGATTATGAATTTTCTTCGGTAAGAAAAATATTGGTCTCATTTCATTATTTTTGGCTTTTTGTTCATTTGATAACTTTTTAAGTTTTTGAAAGATACTTATTTTTCGTTTCCTTACAGGTCTTTCATTCATGTTTCTCCATACAGTTCTTCATTTTCTTCTATAGTTCAACCATCACATGATTATACAAAATCAAAATTGTGCGATCCTAAGAAGGCAATAGGTTATTTCAAATTTTATTTTCTGGATTAAATAATTCAATTAGCTGTTAAGATTTTCAATATAATGAATTATTTCATTAAAATTTAAAATATTCATCATTCTATTTTTAGGCTTTCGGTTCAGCGAGTCGACGATGGAAGATCGATTGGAGCCAACTGATTTAACAGCGCCTGAATTTATCGCTCGAAGTGAACCTATTGCTATTATTGATGAAAATGTTCCAAATACCTCTCGTTTTTACAAACAGTGTTTTGAAAATTTTTCTCATAGGTAAAAAGTTAATTTATTACTAGTGGAATTATTTTATGAATTTTTTGCGATGCTGAAATATAAAAAAAATCAGTTTCAGTCAGAATATTAAAGAGGATTCAGGCTTCATAGATACGAGTCATTTCAGTCTTGAATCATCTTCAAATAATCCCGAAGTGGTAATTAATAAAATTGTTATTTCTTTTTCTCCTGTTTTTAAATATTTTATTAACTAATTGATTGTTTATTTGTTAGCAATTTTTTCGTTTGTTTTTTTGAAAAGTCGGTTTCAGTTAAGATATAAAGCATGGTGTAAAACATACAGCCTGAGAAATCTAATAATCCACCTCTCACATAGGAATTTTAGGAGTCCTTCAAAAGCGTAAAAGTGTATATCTGATTGCGATGAAATTATTTTTATGAAATAAGGTGGCTTAGCAAGAATATAAAGGGTAAAAAGTCGAAAAAGAGTGAAAGAGTGAAAGTCGAAAAAGAGTGAAAAAAAGAGTGAAAAGAGTGAAGAGTGAGAGTGATTTTATGATCTGTGAAATAAAATCAAGTCATTTATAGAATTAAAAAGAAGAAAATTTGTATCAGAATTTGCTAATAAAAATTAGCTCACAGATTTAGCATTTTTAGTTGACTTGGCTACTCATTTAAATGAGTTAAATATGTTTCTCTAATGAGAAAATTAATATTAGTGCTGTTTTTCGAATTATAATAGCATTCGAAATCAAATTATGGCAAATAATATTATGAATTTTATATACAATTTTGTATAGATTATAGAACAGAATAGAATAGATTAGTATATAAAATATATTAAACATCAATGAAAACACCAGTGCAGTGTTGTTTTTCGTTTTGGCACAGGAATTTGAGCAGGCATTTCGTGGAAAATCAACATTTTGTTATATATTTGCGACTCCATATTCGTTCGATATAAATAAATTACCTGCAATTTTTAGAATCAAATATATTGGAGTTGCAAACAGAGATTCAAATTTTTTTAATTTTTTTTAATGTCTATCTTCCAGAGAAAAATAACCGTTGCCTTACAATTATTTTACTCATGCCATCAATATTTAATAATATTTGAGTAACTGTTTTCTAGAATGATGGAAGAAATTAGAACAAAAATTTCAGCTGAACACCTTGAGAAATCACTGAGATTTGCAATTGCTTCCATCAAACAGACAATGTATTAGTTCACGAAAATATTTTTTATTAGTTTTACTAGTTTTTGATTCCTATTTTAGAATAAAAGATGGGTTTATTGTTTTTTGTGCTTATTCTTAACTATTTTAATTATTTTTTATTTTTAACTATAAGGAAAGCCAAAAAATTAGACACTCATGGTGCACACCTTGTATAATTACAATTTTGATTTATATTTACCACATTTTATTCCAATTCTACTTTAAGTGTAGTACTAATAGTGTTAAATATATCAGTGTTGGATTTCTTACGCGTTATTTAATCCTTTGCAGCGATTCGAAGATTTTCTTTCATCAACTCTAAGAGAAGATAGGTTATTTTTTGGGCATGAAGGATTTGTCGGTGACTTTTATTCCATACCGGAACAGGCGAGTGGACCACTTGAAAGCATGTGAGTTTCCTGTTTTGCATTTGATTTTTTCAAGATTTGTATGTAAATTCTAAGAAAATAAATTTTAGTTTATCTGATGTAAACCGGTTTCCAAATATAATTCTCCCTTTGAGTCCTTCCAAGGCTGCGAATGTATTAACAACTGAATCACGTTCTCCTCGGAAAGCTGTACCTCAACAACAAAAGGTTTTGATTTTTCCGATCAGTATTTAACAATATATTTTTCTCTCACCTTCTTGTGGATGGTCATGATCATCCTCAACTTCAAGTCCTCCACCAAAAGTCTAAAAGGTATCTTAGCTGCTTTTAGTGTGCTGTTCTAAATAGGGATCTTTGACATTGTTCCTGGAATCTACTGGATGAAACTACTTTTTAATAGGGAGCACAGTTCCAAGTGCTTCAGTTATCACTTATCAGTTATCACTGGGGTGACTTCATTTTCTTCACCATTTTTTTCAGCTCTTAGTATTTTTCAAACTTCTCATATTCCTTCTTTCTGACGTTTCTGCCACTTGGTATTGTTATATCAATCACCTGTGCTGATTTCTTATTCTTGTCTATTGCCACGATATCTGGTTGGTTGGCTAGATTGGCTTACGAGATCCCACAGGATCTTCACCTTATTCTCTACGATTTTCTGAGAAATCTCTCATTTAATCTTGGGTGGGTCTAAGCCATTTATCGAGAAGATATTCTTGTAGATGATGCCAGCTACTTGGTTATATCTTTTACTGTATATTCAGTTCCTGCTTGCATTTTGCATCATGCCACTATTTGCTGAATTATTTCCGGATTTCCGGGCCATTTTTGCACTCTGCATGTAGAATTCTATCTAGTGTGGTAGAATTTATTTCGATGGATCCGGTACTTAGCTGCTCCGATGCTGCTGTAATGTCTCAGTATTGCCTTTTAGTCCGGCCTTTTTCATTTCTCTAACCATTGGTAGGATCTCCCAATATCAGCTGCTTCATCTATCTGTCGATGGTGCTATCACTTTCATCGATTTTTTATTTAGTCTGTAAGGCGAGAATGATCGGTATTTATTGGCTGTCAGTACTTGCATTCAAATACTTAAGTACTTGATGCTGGTACGATTCGCCCCCGAAGAGTGTCAGGCGGGAAGTTTGACTGGGACGATTCGTCTATCAAAACAACGCATATTCTAAGGCTAGCTCAGAGAGGACGGAAATGTCTCGTAAAATAAAAAGGTAAAACTCCTGATCTTGATTTCCAATACGAGCAGACCGTGAAAACATGGGTTCTTTTTCTTATTGATTCTTTTTGAATTAGAAAATCTCTAATAATTAGAAAAGTGATAACTGGCCAACAAGCGTCCATAGCGTTGTTGTTTTTTGATCCTTCAGTACAGGCTCTTCCTTTCATTGTATATATATCTATATTTGGCAATATAATATATATATATATATATATAACAATGTTAACCCGATTTTTTAAGTGTTTTTTTACAAATCCATTTTCAAAAATTTATTATTAAAATTTAAAATTTTAACATATATTTGCTTAATTCATTTAATCATTTATAGATTCTACTTTTGTCCTCCTAAAAAATTTTTTATGGCCTGAAAAAACCTATATATAAACGTAATCTTAATTAACCTATTCTAGGAATGTGTATCATACGTTTCTCCTTGCTTGCCAAATAACTCAAGTGGAACTCAAAAAAAGTCAGAAAATCTTGATAAGACTTTTACTGAGTTTGTGCCACCGAAAAAGGAACCTAATCCGGTAAAATTATTTATGATTTATCCGTTGTAATTTGCTTTATATTTTATTAGTACAATAATACAATAATGCCATTTTCATTGTTTTATTTGCAAGCATTGTTTATATAAATAATAAGGCGAAGATCCTGTGGAACTTCTCCATTCAGATGGATAAACACTGGCAAGTCAATCAGATATCGTGGTGATATAAGAATCAGAAATACAGGAACGTTAGGAAAAAGGATTATGGAAATTGGAGTTGAAATATTAGGAGCTGGAAGAGGATATAGAGAAGATGTGGAGAAATGAAGGCCATAGTAATTCCAGCAATAATCGGAACACTTGGAATTGTAACCTCTAAATTAGAAAGGTGTTTCAGCAGATTTCGATATTTTAGTTTCATATATCTCTACCACGAATATCCAGAAGAGCACTGCTAGAAATAGCCAAAATATTGTGCAGAGTCCTCAGTATCCCATGCCTCTGGTAGAAGACCCAAGGTTGAAATGACCCTTACCACCCACAGAAGATGAGAAAGAAATTTTTTAAAAATGTAAATCTATCTATATGAAAGGAATATTTTAGTCATTTTTTGATTGTTTGATTGCCTTTCTTTTCAATTTTTCCATGCATAAATTCATAGATTTTGTATTTTTTCATTCATTTTCAGTATTCTCCATCATGGTATGCAATTGTGTGTGGTGGAACTCCATGTCAGGTTTGATTTTGACTTTTAGTAACTGCTTACCATTCTTTGTTTTTATTGCAATTATTAGATCCAGTATTTTCCAGATTTAAGTTCAGATTTAATTTTTCTAGTTATGAAAGGTTTTTCTTAATATTTTATAGTTAATATTTTGCAGCTAGATATGATGCGAAAAGCACGAGATTTTTTGGAATCACTTAACAAGCGTGAAATCAAATAATAATGAAATACAGCCTCAAATGAGTATTGTACATTATACATATCGGTGCTTTAATCGTGATATTTTATACGATTTTTGTAAGTTCTCGGTGAATTCCTTTTCTCCTTTTTTTTTGTAAATATTTATGTGGAAGTTCTTCCACTGTTTTTCTTTTGAATACTTAACTGTGGTGATGAAGTTTAGATTTTTATTTTTAATTGATTTTTAAATCTTGAATTTGAATTTAATCTTTTTTTCAATAGTATTTTTATTTTCCTGATTATTATCAATGTGAATCAAATGGATTTCAATGTTTCAATGTTGCATAGTCGAAGAAAATTTGTGGTTGAAAAAAAATTCATTTTGGTTTGAATTATTTCTCCAAAATTTTTAATATTTCCGGTTTTGTTTAAAGTCAAAAATCGTTTTTTGCTTTGATCTAGATGATTTCATAATTTCATTTTTTAATTGAATCATTCCAAATTTAAATTTTTTTCACATTTTTCTGTGTAAAATTATAATGGAAGGTCTCAGTCAGCAAGTGTCTTCATTTATATATTTTTTTTATAAAATCATTTTTATTCTGATTTTTTAAAATTTAAAATTAAAAAATTCTTTATCATTCTTTTTGAAGTATTTTTTGACTTTGGCTTTTATTTTTTTATGGATTTAGCTTGGCTAAGTCTTAAATCACTACTGAAATAAAAAAATTACCTCAAATATTGTTGTGCTTCTTATATTTTGTTTATTTTTTTTCTAATTTTATTTGTATTCATATTGCGCTGATGAAAAATCTGATTGCAATTCATTTTTTAAAATTCTCTTATGCCTTTTTACTTCATTTTAATTGCATTTATTAACCGTTATAATTTTTCTTTATTGTGATATATATTTATAATTATGTAGACTTATATTTAAGCATTAATATCTTGATGATTTGATTTGATTTATCGGCGTATCACTTTAGTAGGTCGATTTTATAATTAATTATTCAAATTTAAGTAATTTATGCATTGGCTTTGCATTGTCCATTAAAAATAATGAATTTTAAAGTCATATTTGCTGATAAGGAATTTGGATCTCTAATTAAGTGAATATTATAAAAATAAACGGTAAATCATTTGGGTAGTAAATTTCATTTAAATGAGTAAGAATTGAGAACTTTGTTGAGAATTAAATTTTAATTTCATTAAGAAAATTTAAAAGTTTTAAATGAATTTTTTTCAAATTATTCTTGTTTTAAGTTTTTAGATTATATCGTTGTATTTTGTTTTTATTGGTGTTGTTTATTTTACTGCCAATGTTTTAAAAGTTTGCTGTACATTTATTAGTCTGTTATATTTTTTATTATATATATACATTAATTTTTATAATTATAAAGCATTGAAAAATATGAGAGAAATAAAATAGATTTCTTTAGAATGTGATTCTGAAAAGTTTAATGTTTAATGTATGCAGAAAAATAGTGGATAAAAATAGCAAAAAAGGAGTTTGAAAGTGAATGCTGCATTTTTTATAGTTTCAATTGTTTGCTTTGTTTTTTTTAAGTAACAGTTTCTATTTTTTTTTTTTCAGTATAGTTATTTCCAATTTTCTTTGAATTGATAATAATCGACTAAAAATTGTGTTATTTTTCCATTATGATGAGAACGGAGAGTATGTTCGAGGAATTTGGTGTGGGCTGCATGAAGTTTGAAAATGTCAAATGGAGTAAATAGAGCAAATAGACTGAAATGGATACAATATGCGAAATTTGCGTAAGGTTAGTGTCACTGATTTCCTTTTAGATTTATCTTTTCTCGATTGTAAGCGGTGAAATTTGAGACATTCATCGACAACGATGACCTTTGAACCGTTAAGAGCATATATCAATGAGTGTTGCGAAGTCTGACATGTGACGGATTGGAGAAATAATGATTAGTGCAAATGTTCCATTGTTCGCTATGTAAACGAAATCCTAACCTATTATTGGCGAGAATAAAGTAGAAATGAAGGGGGCGTTCGAAGGAAATCGTTTCTTTTTCAAACGATGAAAACTATTGTTATAAATAAAATGAAACTTGGGCCAGAGGTCGAATGCAATTTATGGTCGACAAGGGTAAAGGAATAAATGGAAGAGTCATTTTAACCAAGGGTTGAATAATTTTGAGTGGTGCTAGAAATTAATGCTTATTCCTATTGTCAGTTGATTTTCTTGAATGTTGCACTTTTAGCAATCGGGGAATTAATCAGGGCGGAAATGGTGAGGAGAATGGAGCTGTACTATTAAAAGAAGAAGGCAACGATATTCGTTAGAGCAACATTTAGCTTCAGTAGCAGTAATGGAGTGGCACGTCACTTCTGTTATTTCACTAAACAAATTTTACTTTTCCTACCGTTTAACTGTCACTTCCTAAAATGACAGTTGAAAAGCACTGTAGCCAACTGGCCAAAATGAGAAATGGTGAAATGTTGTTAAGAAGATGGGATAGAATATTTAGCTTCACGATTTTCCGTCATTTCCGTATTTTTGTTGAAAAATTTGAATGCGCAAAATTTTCACGATATTAAGTTCATTCACCAATTTGAACCACTGGTTTTCCAAATAAGTTTTCTTTGTATGAATGAACGCCATTTTGCAAAAAATTGACAAAATTTTACAAAAATTTCCATGATAATATTAGATTTTTAATCCATCATGGTAGTTATTAGTTAAAATTATATTTCAGTAAAAATAATCAAATAACTTGATAAGAAGTTTGAACTCGACCTTCAAGATTTTCAACGACAAGCACCAGTCGTGGTTCAATATTTATAATTCTCGCACAATGACAGTGTAATAAAGAGTTTCATCCTTGTAATTGCCTGTAATTTTTGGCCTTTATTCATTCGTTACGAAATGGAATGTTAAATCAGACCAGAACTATAAGAACTTTTGCAAGCAAGATGTTGATAAAGAAAATTTGCAGCAAGCAAGATGTTGATAAAGTTCGGTGCGGAACTGGATGAAAATTAATTTTTGTGGTCGTAAATCATAATTTGGCTTTCGTGAAACTTCTGGGAGGAAGCATTACAATCGATACGATATTTGGACCACCATGTGTGTATTTGGTATATATGTGTATATTTGTGTATTTCTATTTCATTAAATCATTAAATAGTCGGATATCTTCCATGTGATTCAGTGAGATTATCGAGAGAGAATTTGAAGAACATTGCTAGCTAGCATAGGGTAAAGCTTATGTCCACCACATTTTCCTAATATATTTATTTTACACTGGTGTACCTTAAAATGAACGGCTTTGCTAGGACTTTTGTAATATCTAATTAATAAGTGCATCACTTGAATTTCTTTGATTCATCTTAAACGGTTAAAATTAACATTAACATTTAGTATAAAACTATGTAATATTTTACTAATCCAAAAAATAAATTTTTTGCCATTCCAAAGAAATTTTTCCGCTAATAACAGTCATTGCAAACCATAATTTGTTATTCGTTGTAGAGAGATGGAAAAAATTAAAAGGAAGAATTCATTCGAATAGAATTATTAGAATCGAAAAGAGATGGGACATTTCGCAACAATTATGTAATTATGTGATGTTTTCTGGATATCTATGACAATTTTTTCCTCATGAAGTTTTTTAAAAAATGTTGTTTTCCTAGAAAATTATGAAATGCTTTAAATATAATCATAAATGAATGCTGATAATCATTTTCATTTATCGAAAGAAACGCTTTTCTTCAAAATATTTAATATTTAATGAATGAATGAACACAAGGTGTAAAGTATAGTGTTTTCAATAGTTCAAAATTCAAAAATTTATCTTTCTACAAACATAATTAATCCTAACAGAAGGCATCCAAATATTTGGAATCATCAATTATTTTGAATATGACCTCGAAATGAGTGGAATGATTGACGAATTAGTCATTTAGCACAGTTATTCAAATGTTTATATAGCTCTCGTTGTGTTTCTTATCGTTACAAAAATCAATGTGCAGCAATTTCGCGAGGAAATCGAGATGTATTCGCTTTTCAGGGCAAAGTTAAAATCTAATAATAAAATTTGTGCCTTTATATGAAAATGTAGCCACAGGTGATTTCTTTTTCTCTTTTGTAACAGCCACGATTGAAACATTACTACCTGTTCATTTAATTGATTAGTGTTTGTGGACATATCAAAAAGGTTTATAATATAAGAGAAATACAAAACGCATTGAATATAAACACATTGAACAACACAATTAACAGCGCCTTCTAATTATGTGGCTTTCAGGAACAGAAGCACTCTGCAGCTCCAGCCATCTTTCAAGTTAAAAAGTATATCTGGATTTATGAGAATGAAGAATAGAATATTGAAAATTAAAGATCATATATGAAGATTAAACTGGGTGGATCAGTGGTAAAACAACTGTCGTAGAAAACCGAGATTTGAGTTCGAATTTTACTGTCCTATTACGCTTCGTAGAGCGGGAGGGCCATCTAACTGGGAAGGGAAAGGAAAATAGAAAAACTCAGTGAGTTATTATTCAATTTGGACCACCGTTGCTGAGATTCTATTCCAGAGGTAGACCCAAAAATCCGGTCGACGTTGGGGACTAACCTGTGCTTCTATTGCCAAGAAATTTCTGGTATATTTATTTACTTCGAGAGGCCAGCGTAACCAGTCTACCAGGAATGGTAAGTATTCTTTAAAAAAATTGACATAATATTGAATTATTTCAGTAAAATGACTATTTTTTATATCCGGTTTATATTCAACTAAAATATATTTCCAACAAAGTTTTAATTGCATTCCAAATTAAGGTGGTCAATTCTCATTATAGACTTGATTAATTTCTCTAGAAAAAAGTAAACTTGTCATTAGAATCTCGGTATATCGCAGAAATCCACTTATATTCCACTCTTAAGTAACCCTTTAGCGAAAAGGTTCCGATAATATATGAAAGCCAAGTCAGAAATGATGAGTGTTATTAGATGACATTTCAAAGTGAAACTGCACGAAAAAATGCAAATCAGCGTGCTCAAAAAATTTGTTAAAATTGAGCAAATAATGAATATACAACAACAAAATGGAAAAAAATTAATTGGAGATAAACAACTATTCACTTCATTGTGAAACCTTCAATTTTCGTTTACGAGCTGATGCTTTCTTTCGTTTCAGGTTATCTTGTCGCTCTTTTTCCAATTTTTTAAATTGTTCTTCATAGCAATTTTCACCATTTATTTTACGATCCAATTTATATTTAAGCCTGAATTAATATATTTATTTTAATATTCTAATAGCAAGAAAAGAATCATGAGCTGTAGTTTTATTGTATATTATAATCATTATAGTAAACAACAACACAACAAATGACAATAAGGTCGATAGCACGAGAAAATTTTTGAAAATCCCTTCTAATTCCTGGTTTGCCTGAACCCACTGGCTATGAAGATGTAATTTGGCTTCACCCAGCGCTATTCAAATTTCAATCCTAATAACAGAAAACGAAAGAAATCTTGTTCATTCATATTCAGCCGTTTTATCAATCCTTGCATAAACAAAACTTTTCTTTAACTAACTATTAAAAAAGAATTCAACCTTTCAAATGCAATCTTTTCATTTTCGAATGGCATTCTTGTATCATGCACCTTAACAACCAATCCGGATGGAATATGTTTCAATATAACTGCATTTCTTTGCGCATTGACTCGTGAACCTCCTGGACCCCATCCTGATATTAGTTTCTAAACTATTGTTAAATAAGGCAAATGGAGTGTATTCACTGAAAGAGAAATCACCGCATATAATAAAGTATATTATCGAATTCCAAATATCGAAATAAGGAATTTTAAAATTATTAATTTTGACAAAATCGAATGAAAATAAATATTAATTTGAAAGAGCTGAAAAAATTGAAAAAAAATAAAAATTAGGAACAAAAAAATAATTTTAAAACAGAAAAAAATTTAATGTAATGAGAGGTTTTTTATATCATTTGCGAACTAATTCTTGTAATGTTATTGTTTTTAACCTGTCATTACCACTTATTATATAAATATTATATAAATTAGTGGCTTTTTTTTTAGAGTCCTCACCATTACTGGTTAAACTGGCTTATCGCATTGGGTAATGCCAGAAGGTCCCTTGGCGATACGAATAGAGGTGCCAGGTGAGTTACCAGCATCACCCGGATTTTTATATAGATTTACTCCTGTGAGGAATCGAATCTCAGCACCGGCGCTCCCAACTGACTGAGCAGCAATTCACGGAGCCATTCCATCCATATAATTATTTTCAATTGCGGTAATTCGTTAAAGAATTTTTAACACTTTTATTCTGTTGGCAATATTTTTATTTCATCATTATTTTTGGTTCTTATATTTCATTTCTTTAAAGTCATCTAATATGTTTGAACATTCCATATGCCCATTACATATTCCCTTCATATTTCAATCTCCATTAACATTTCTTCGAATCCTATTTAGTTGCCTTGAAATTCTCTTGCCGAATGGCGAAAATAGTTGCAAATACGAGCAGGTCACCAATCTAATGGAGCAAAGGTCACAGGTGTGACCTCCAAATAGGTACGGCTATATAGCACCAAGAATTTGAATCGTGAAAGATTAACAATAAATATCAGCCGAAGGATGGCTGCTTTGCTTTAAATCTTCTTTTGTTTTATTGTATATTATTGTTTTATGTGATTAGTGTTGGTAAATATTGTTTGAGAATTGAAATGAAATAAAGGTTAAATTACCCAAGATTGAGGCATCTCTCAAGCTTTAAGATGGTTTTTAAAATAATCATTCTATTGTTAAGAACCATATCCATCGCACTGCGAACATGAGTGCCTCTGCTTTTTTTCCTTTGCTGTCGTAGAATAAGACTGAATAGATGGAGCAATCGGGACAATATTTATCCATGTTAGTCCACTTGCATGTGTTTTTCTTTATTTTTAATATATTCTTTATTTAACATTGAATGAGAATTAGCGAACCTTTTCGCAGTGTTCTGGCAAAATTTCAGGAAAAACATAATCACGCAATTTTTGCTTTGAAGAAAATCGGCGAATCGGTTGACCGAAAAGAAAATTTATGTTCGCGAAGCGCATTTCATGAAATGAATTCGATAATTCCCTTAAAAAACTTAGAAATTTCTAATAGAAGTAAAATTAATTCAATTAAATCGAATGTGGAAATAAAATCCATACGAATTCAATTAATGAAAGAAATCGAAATTAAATTTTCGGGTGAAAATTTCGAGGAGAGTTCGCGGATTACTAAGTTAAACCAGGTGAACGCAGTAATTTTGCTAAATTTGTTGAATTAGCGCACCAGAGAAATTAAAATTCGTGGATGTACATATAAGTCGAAATACACGAATTCAGTTTTCATGTAAAAGACACAGATCGGATACAGAATGCAAATAAGCGTTTTAAGATCCAGGAATGACAAATTTCTGCAGCACTAAAACACGACCATATTTAGCCACGACCACGCTTAAAATTTTTATTAACTGAGCAATTGAAAATAGAATATATGCGCAGCAAAGCAAACATCACCATTGACACAACACGCGGCACGTTACCAACGAACCATTAATTTCGTCCAAGTAATTGCCTTCGCATTACCTATCGTTTGACCTACTTTGCTCCTTCTGTTTAATGCACAATTTTGTGATATTTCCTGATGATCTGATGAATTAAAAGGAACGGCATATTTGTTCTATCCTTTATCACTACTTTTCTTTCCAATATAGCAATAAAGTCATCTTCGGTTTGGCAGAATCATTCTGCTTTATCATCATAAATGGCAATTTTTTCAGAATTCTTTTTACACTCTTCAAATCCATCGGAAGATTGCTGTTACCTTGATATTTCACCAAAATTTGCAGCACCCTTTTGCCACAACACCGCCACGAACAAATAGTCCAACTGTATCTGTGATATTCGCAAAAATTAATATGCGCTATTTGTGGAACTTTCTAAGTATTACAAACGACAAACAGCAATTATACCAATCGTAATTTCGTCGCACAATACTCATTACTAAAAAATTTTTATTCCCATTCATAATTTCCTACAAAGCGATCATTCCATTGAATGACATTTAAATAATGAAAAAAATAAAAGCCAGGCCTAAAGCATTGGGCTCGATATTGGCAAATGGCTAATTAGTTATATAAGCAATTTTCATAAACTTCTAAATTAACATTAAAATTCTACGAATTTTTAGAAAAAACAGGCGAATACAAAATTACTCTCCAAAAAAATTTAACAATCTATGATTTTCGAATTCAATTTAAATGAATAAATTTAAGAAAACTAGCTTTCGGAAAAAAACATTCGTCTATTTTGAACTTATAATTAATTCTGCTTTTCTAAAGCGAAATACAATCTTTCTCTTCCAATTCTGGATAATTTATCATACAATAACAAAAAATAACGAAATAAAATTTTTTTCGTTTGATCAACTCACTGATGCTTCGTTGCTGATCGTTCAATGAAACAACGAAATGAACATTAAAAATTTTCTTGATAATTAAAATAGTTAAATATTTCACAAAAGTTTAAACAGTGAGCCAAACATTAAAAAAATGTAAGAAAATAGAGATCATTCAAGTGCTTTAACGGACATGAAAAACCGCAAATTAACCACTTGAAATAACAAAAGAACGAAACACCAGAATACTAAACAATAATTAGACCGACCGGTTAAATTCAAATTTCTTCTAACAAATATTTAAAGAGTCATTTAATAACAAATATTTTTCGTTTGATCAACTCATTGATGATGCTTCGTTGCTAACAAATATTTAAACAGCGATGAAGATATTATTTACGATGACAAGGAGTTCGCTTTAACAGAGATTTGAAATGAATTGAAATCTACTATAAAAAGGATTAAAGTACTGGTGAAATAAGGCAATACTTCTTTTGATTCGAACACTAATAAAATGAACCAAAATGCTTTGTTAACTGATATTCTTTAATTAAAAGGTTTTGAGATGATAATCCACAACTGAAAATAAAATAATACAACAAAGACGGTACCATAATTCTTCAAATATACGTTTATAATTTATGAGAAAAAATTTTTAAATGAATTTTTATAAATTTTTAAAATTTTTAAATCTTGAATTTCTGAAAATTTATAATTCAAAAAATCAATGAATCAAAAGTCAAAAAACATAATTTGCAAAAGTAAAATTTTCATACAAATTATATGCATAAGTAAAACGATAAAATGAAAGCTTATTTGCTCAATAACTTTTTAAAATAAATTTGAAAAATTTAAGAAAATTTATTTAACTTATAAAAAATAAAATTGAATTAACCAAACAAAAATATTAGAATATTTCTTTTCAGCTATAGTTGTCTCAAAAATTTATAATAAACAAAACTATAAAAATATGAAAAGACAGCCATGAATTTGTACTTTTCATTTTTTTTATTAAAAAATTAAAGTGCTGATTCATATTCATTATACAATAAAAAAAGATCATAATAGTTCAATCAGTGGATAAATTTGTTAATGAGATTCAAAAAACTGCGATAAAATTACCACCGATGAATTCTAACAATGTTGGCGAATTGTTCAAAATCGCTAAATAGCTAAACACCGTTCGCTAAAGAAGAGGAAACAGCTGTCAACAACGACGATTTTGCCTGCTTGACGACATCCAGTTCCGCTCGTTCTCTTATTTCATCAAGTGTATAATCAACAAGTAGACGGCCATTTTCAAATACTGTTATCAGCTGGTCCTGCAAATAGCCACTGACACAAAAGAAATAAATAGCGATTTCTTTTCACTGGGAATTCTCTTATTAACCGGAAATAAAAGTGCTTGAAAATATAAAAATCAGCAGAAAGAATTAAAAGAACCTTTTCACAATTACCAATGCCTTCTTCTTTGGTGATATAATTGTTAGCTTCATCTTTCTCCAAAGTTAAGCGCCCTCTTTTAGACTGTTTTCCATGATCAGTAGTTGGATTTTTCCAAACGTCACGCTATAATTTGTGGTAATCTTGTACGATATTTTATGATAGATTACTAATGGTGAATTTTATTAGCTAGAAAAACGACATAATATAAAATATGCATATCGAACAATCCAATAAGAAAATATTGACTCACATCTGCACCATCTATTATAACATGAGAACATTTGAAAGCGCATTTCTGCGTATCACGGTCAATTCTTTGCAACAAAGAACCGCCAGTTCCGAATGCAACATTTTCAGCACTCCAGCCTTTACTTTTCATTATGCTGAGAAGCTAGAATAATTTCAGTAGATAAATAAATTGCTAAATGCAATTTAAGTTATAAATATAAAACGATTTAAATAAAGCGGCTAGGCTTAAGTGAGTGGTTACTTCTGGCCAGGATTATTTCAACTGCTATCAGTAAGATAGGACAATGTCGCGAAAAAAACATTTGAAGATAGAAATACAGGAGTCACATTCAAATTTTTCTACGGTTTATAGGCTTTCTTTGCCAAAGGCAGGCAGAACCGACCAAATAAAATGATAACCTAGACAACACACTATTCAGTCGCATTATCTCCTCAAAAATGTTACAGCTCTCGTTTGAAAAAAATGGTCGCCACTACCGAAAAATTAGATTACTCATACATATTACTCATAACAATGGTATTACTCATACATACTTTGGCAATAGTTTCATAATTGATTCCATCGCCTTGCAGCAAACGTAAATAAGAAGGCAGAACGCGATAGCCCTTTGAATTAACAGTGATGTCAAATTTTTCCGACAATAAGTTTAACACCTGAAAAATTTCAAAATTTTTATAAACGAAATGAAGATTTATAATAGACAAAAAATGAAAGTACCATACGATCAAGGATTGAAAAAAAAAAGAAAATTCAAAGTTTTCTAGAGATCAAATTAATATAACAAAAAAATAGAACCTTTATTACAACCTCTACAGGATCACCACTATCAGGTCGAATTACAAGCCGACCAATGCCTTCTCGATTAATGACATATTCACGGAGTTCATTACCCCAGATGTTCGAAACTGCATTGTAAACGTCATAGGAATCACTGACCACTGATACCGGTCCCTTTGGAAATTTTTGTAGAACGTTTAAATATGCAGCTGATTCTCCTGATTTCTTCCAAGCGGTTATAGTACTAAAAATAAATAAATAAATAATAAATAAAAAATTAATAAAAAATAAAAAACAATAAATAATAAATTCGCTAAACCGTTAATACCGCAATTTTTAATCGAAGTTTTAAAATGATGAACTGATCCACAGTTTTTTTATAGATCTATTTGAAGATTTATTTTTTGGAGAAAATTTAAAAATTTGAAAAATTTGAATAATATATATATAGTCAAGCGGCTCCAGGAAAAAAAAAACCATTAATTGTTCATCAATCCACAGTCAAAACGTGTGTTTGAAAAAATTTGAGCCCAAATGATTTCATGTCATATAAATTAGGCAAAGGAAAATACATAAATACGAAATTTTAAATATGAATCCCAAAAACTTCGATCTTCTACCTATCTCTATTGATAATCTTTACCAATTCATGTAAGTAATTAATTTCGACTTAGATCATAAAAAACTTTATTTAAAAATCATCTAGAATTTCAAATAACATGCTTAAAATGCTTAAAATAAGGAAAAATAATAAATAATCAGAATCCTTATTATGGTGAAAACCTATTTGTAAAACCAATATCCTGTCCCACAACTTCCTCATTAGAAGTTCTGGAACAAGAGTTTTAAAATAAATCTTAACATGTCATTTAAACCTTATAAAATTGCAACCTTAACCCACTGTATTTCCATCCCTTTTTTCCTTTTTTATGTTATTGTGTACCTTAATTTATTTCTATATGTTCTATTTCTATTTACTATTACTTCATTTTCATTCTCATTAATAATATATGGCTTTATGTTTTACATGATTTATATTTTAAACTAAAAAAAAAATGAATGATATAACGGATAATATAATAAAGGCTGTAATAAAATTAAAAACCTGTGCTCTGCAGCTGGAATAGAGAATCCAGCCATGGGTTTCGCGTAATATCTGAAACAAAAAACTAATGTTTGGAAAACTCCAACTAAGTGATGAAGCTACAAATTTTTATTATCAAAAAAAATTAAGAAAGAAAATTTCTATCTTCTGGCCATAATTCGGTAAATAAGATTGCGAATAGAAATGAAAACATAAAACCATTCTCATTAATAATATGATCAATGACCACTACAATATGATGCGAAAAACATACTTCTGGCACAAAAGTAAACCAGCGACCGTATCTGTTCCCAAGAAGTTCACCAAATGGGCGGCATCACCAATTGAAGCACTCTATAAGATTTCTTAATGATGATTAAAAACTCAATTTAAAAACTTGAAAAAAATCATTTTGAAATGATAATTTAAAAATTTTCTTCAGAAATGAATAATACTTCAACAGAGGAGGCACCACGATAACCAAAATCGTGTAGTTTATACGGCAAATCATCGAGTGAATCAGCCGTTTCGAGAAGATACTTTGCTATAAGTTCCTTCTGAGCACGCGAACTAGTGCAAACTGTCATCGGATACCACACTTGAACTAATAATGTCTGAAATTGAAATAAAATTCTCTCAGCTTAAATTCAAAAGGTGTTTTTAATTAAGCCATTAAATTCGATCAAAATCCACTATAAGCCAAAAAAATACAACTGGAAATGACAGCACTAATCAATACTAAGTAAAGAATAAAAGAAGCAATAAAGAAAGAATATTACCTCGAACCAACTTGTTAACCATGGAACTAACGGATCTGTATTTTCTACAGTAAATAAAACATTTTTGACTGGCAGCACTGTGCCCTCTGGCACTGCTTTGATTTTCAGTGGTAAATATCCGTTGTGATGCTTTAAAATTTCATTTTTTAAGGACGATTCAAGGACATTTATTCAAATGAAACGATATGGAATAACAGTAAAAAACATCATTACCGAGTAAATGTAAACGAAAAATATCTTACATTTACTATATGGTTCCAACCATCCTCATTGAAAACATTCAGACCACCGAAATGAGATCGGTAAAAATCGCTGGCTTCTTGCACCATTTGTTTATTAACAACAGGCCCAACTAACCACCTTTTGAGAATATACTTAAAACAATATATTCAAAAAACAATATATAGAGTAAAAGTGAAGTTAAAAGGACAAAAAAACCAATGCTTTTAATGTTGATTCTACCCCGTGAACAAATATTTTTAAAAACGAATTTCAAATATATGAATGTAATTTCAAATATATGCAAAAATAAATATGAATGTAGTTAAATACGATGTTTTTTCTAAATTTATTATTATTTCAAACCTATGACCAATGTCCGCCAAAAGAAACCTCTCTTTAATTAAATTTTTGCCTATTCCATTTACATATGTCAATAAACCATCACGGTCATTTTACAGAAGATGTATCCGCATCTAAAGAAAATTGCATTCCTTTTTCTCACTGTGGAGCAATCAAAGGACCCAAGCGGTTGGGTCGCAATATTTCAATATTTAATATTTTTTGTTATTTGTAATCCTTTTTATTATTTATTCATTTCTTGCTTTAAGAGTTGTTTTTTTGGTCTTCGGATTTAAGTCGAATATGATTATTTTTTTTCCTATCCAGTATATCATTGCGGTTCAATTACTTAAGTTTGAAGTGTAAGGCGAAGAATAAAATTAATATATGCGGTGATCAATACTCTACTATGTCCTAATAAAGTAGCCAGAACAAGATTCTTCTAAAATTTTAACGTGGCAGGCAGCATCATTCGCTACTATTATCCTATTTTTTCCTTACATGGTACTCTAGAACCACTGTGGCTATTGGTAATTTGGATTCGACAACCATCAAAAGTGGCAGTTTTCCAGTGCCTTAAAAAATAAAATTTTTAATTACTTAAGCAATTCAGAAACTCAAATCAATTTTATCATCGCTGTCTATCCATATTTCAATTTTCAATTTCGTTCATTTCCAATCAAAGATAAATCCAGTATTTCTTTCGACAATGCTCGATTTCAAATATTACCATTTAATTCGCTAAATCAAAATTTTATATTTAATTTACATCTTAATTTTTATTCGTTGTATTTATTGAGTTCTTTCGCATATTTCGAATCCGATTTTACAAAATGACCAATAAAAAGGACCAATATAAAGAAGAATTCTCTCCTCCTCTCAGAACCCTCCTCTTCAAACAACCGATAGTTTGAGCATTACAGATTCTTCTGAAGATGAACCTAAGCTTCAGTCTTTCTATTTATCAAAAAACTGACGGCCAAAAAACTATGCTCCTCACTCTGATCGACGCTCTTCAGAGCAATGACCAAGAAGATGAATTTGTCCCCCCATGATCTCCAACAAATCCGATTCTAAAGAACACAAAAACTGTGTACAAGAAAAACAAAACTATTCAAAAGAAAACATCACTGGTATTGATTTAGATATATCAATAAAATAAAATAAACTTAAAATTGAAGAACTCTTCCTCCCCCACCTCGGTCCCCGCAAAATATTCAAACAGTGCAATTTCCGAAGTTTCAATTATCCCGTTTTAATGAAACAGTTGAACACTGGCCCTCATTCGGAGACAGTTTCCTGTCCTCAATCGATCCATGTAATCTGCAACCAGTCTAAAAATTAAAACATTTGATGACGTGTCCGTAAGAATTAACTATTTAACTATTTAAGTTCCAAATTTTCCTTAATCCAACAACGTCATAAAATAAGCCCAGCACATAAAATCTCTAATAATTTCGTATATCGTCCAAACGATATTTTAATTATTATCATATCGGTACTATTTTCTATCATTTTTAAAGGCCGGCAAGACCAGGCTTCCAAAAATCTTTTTAATCCAAGAATAAAAACTCTACTCTGAAAGCCGAAAATTTAGAATCTAACAATCTAAATCCTAAACTACTATTCCACAGGCTTAAAAGATTGTGGTCCGTAGTCTTTTAACGATTGGTAGTTGTCAGAAAAAACCGAAAGAATTTGTTATAAAAAAAACTTTTTGAAAAAAGGCTCTTTTGGAATAATGAGATAGCCTACCTAATACTCAAATCACACAAAATTCACATCTAATTTTAAAAAACCGCTTTGCTTACAAATTTTAGATAGCTGTTTCACGCTGTACTCTTGAAAGAAGGAATAGTAATAATTTCTATACAATTTTTATGTAATTTATATAATATTGTAAGTTCAACCTCAACCTACATATGGAAAAAGATAAGCTCATAGAATCAGTCCGAACTGTGCTTAAAACGAGGTTTAAAAAAACGACGAACGGAAACTTCGACTAATTTTCTCTCTCAAACCATAATTCAACGCGACATTCTCCTTTATCTTTAATCCTACTCGTCTCCTTGACCCGATTATTGTGCTATTGTAATATATTGTTGCTATAATTCGAAGGTAAATAAAACTTTTCCCTTTCGGCTCAAGACAACTTTCACAACAGCAGTGACGTGTAACACGATGTTTTTTCCTAAATTTATTAATTAATTCAAACTGGTAACCCCGACTCGTCAGAAGAAATTTTGCAATGCAATAATTCTTGGCCTATTCCATTTACGTATGTCAATAAACCAAGGTCAATTTACAGAAATTATATATATTTCTCAAGAAAATTGTATTTCTTTTTCTCATTGTAAAGCAATTAAATAACTCAAGCGACTGGTTCCCAATATTTCAATATTTAACATTTTTCCGTTATCTATGATCTTTTTATTTTTATTTTTATGATATTTATTTTTTTAGTTTTTGGGATAGGATGATCCTTTTAGCCTTTAGATTATGATCGATTATCGAATACGATTTTTTCTTATCAGTATACCACCATTTAATTACTCAAGTTTGAGGTGATGAACAGAATTATTATTAATAAATACGGTGATAAATACTTCTATTATTGTTATTGTCCTGATCAAGCACTCAGAATCAAGGTTTTTCTGAAGCAATAACGTGGTCAGCATCATTCCGCTCTTATTACTATTCTATTTTATTTTTTAAAAATATATACAGTAAGATATTTGTAAATATTATTTGTATGTTTATTATTTATATGTATATTATATGCATATATCAAAATTTAAATTTTAAATAAATATAATATGTATATTTCCAATCTTATTTCATATAATTTGAAGCAAACCCATTAAAATTTAATCAAAAAAAACCTGCAGTCCGAAAAAGCAAACTTCTGGAAATTTTCCACCACGACTTTCAAAATAACTGTAGACATGAGTCGTTCCTTCAGGATATTGCCGATAATGGGTTACCTAATACTTAAAATTTTAACTTCAGGCAACTGCAAAGGAAGACCTGTCAAAACAAAATTTTTCTAGCCTTTCAGGCTTAATTGATAATTTCTTTTTAATGAAAATTCATTCAAAGGAGAAACATGGCAAAAACCAAAAATATTCCTTTAAAACACTAAAAAAAATCGGAACAAAAAATTATTGGAATTGGAATAAATTTGTTCAAAACTTGGAGATTTTAATTCCATAATCTTATAAAGCCTTTCAAATCGTGAATGAAAACCATAAATTTTAATCCCATTAAAGATGAAAAAAAATTAGCTAAAGCGTCGTAATTTTTCACCAGACGTAGAAAGAAATTTATGTTAAACCAAACAGTGAGGAAATTTAAGAAAATACCTTATATGAATCAGCCAGATACAGAACACTATCGACAGGAAAACGATCCATTATAATATAGAACCGATTTTATTGACACCCCAAACTTTCAAATCGTAACTATTCTTAAATACCTGAATGCATTTAATTATGGCAAAAAAGTACCATCGATAAATTATAGAAATAAACACAAAAAAAATAGGGCCACTGAAGCAAATGTGCCTCAGACTTCACGCTACATTACCACAGAAAAGTTGAGCCTTTTCAGATGAACCGAAGAAATATAGGAATTTGAGGAAAAGAGAAAATTAAATGACGCAAGAGAGGAAGGATAACGAAGAGAAAACAAAGTGCAAAGGGTTCAAGGACGTGCAAAAATAAACATTGCAAGATTTGGTGAAAACAGAGGAGTATAACAGAATAATATAAACTTAGCAGAGATCCGTTTAAAATACTGTAGAGCTATACAACCAAATAAGTGGTCAGCGCTCCCGGTAAAAGTCGCTCCACTTATACAGCCAAGAATTTTTGCACAGGCAGCAGCACAGCGCGAATGGTACCATCGCCGAAACTCAGTCCAAACCTTGACGACTCGATAAATATAAAAAGGCTATTCTGCCTCGCAGCAGTTACAAACGAAATGTGGGAAAAAGTTTTGCAATTCCTCATTTTATTTCAGAAATAATACGGAAAAAAACTCCGATACATATCAAAATAAATATTGGAAAAAATATTCAAAAATGAAAAATTGCACCGATAAAACGCATAAACTTAAAAGAAAAAAGCGAAAACAAATCTAATAAAATCAAAAAAATCGATTTTTGCGAATTCCAATTAAATCAAAACTGAAGGAAAATTGCCCAAAAATCCCACTAACTTTCCTAAAAAACCTTTCCAAATTTTAAATTCGACTAAATTTATCACTAAACAAATAATAATAAACAAACGAACCATGCGGCATTATCAATTTATACCTAAAAACAAACAACGCATTCGCAAACGTACGTAAGCTGCATTTTAGTAATGACAAAACCTTTAGCCAGCAGATTTTCTTCTCGAGACCACAGTTTTCAACTTGTACAATAATGTTTCAATTAATCGATTTTTTCATAATTTTTAATTTTTGACCACTTAATAAGTCAAATCATTTCATTTTAACTATTTAATATGAAAACTCTGGAAAATTGCAATTAACTCTCGTTTAATTTCATATAAGAAGTAAAAATATTTAAATATTCTTCGTATTTTAGCGAAAAATGGTTAACGATAGCGATTTGTGGTTAGCTTCGCTGGTGAGAAATTTCGTAAAGGAAAGGATAAAGGTGAAGGAGTAGAGGAATGGGGAGGAGTGAGTGAGCAGAGCGCTCGGCTTTTCGGTTTTGGAGAGGGAGTTCACTGCTGTTGGGGGTTGGAGTGGGGGATCGAAT